GGGCCCCCGGGGGGGGGGGGTTATCCTGTTAGTTTGCCTGTCTCTACCCAGCCCTTAGCAGGGTGCTTGATGTGCCAGCCAGTGGGGCGCTTCAGGTTCAGCACAGGGAGAACTGGTTTCCTGACTATTCCGTGTCTTTCTCACCATGTCTCCCCTCCCCCCCCACCCTGTTTCTGCCCCCTTACAGGACTGTGAGAGGTGTAGGCATGCCTTCCCATGGGCCCTCCAGCCCCCCTTCCTGGCCTGCGGATCACGAGAGGAGCCCATTGGCCAGGCCAGGTTTAAAGTGGGGGGGCCACGTAGGGCAGCCTGGGAAGATGGAAAGGGCTACCCATAATGCCCCCCCCAAGCCCAGCTGCCCAGTGAGTGAAGGGGAAAAGGACTCTGGATTTTCAGGTACTTTTGCTGGGGATGGGGGGGGGGGGGCTTTCTATAACAGCCCCTTTGCTGGGGGAGGGTCTCTTCCTGTCCCAGTGGTGGGGAATCAAATGAGGAGGGGCCCTGGGTGAAGGGGGCAAGAGGAGGAGCAGAAGGCTGACCCACGTGATGTGGGGTGAACCTGGTGCAGTCGCTCTCTCAACCGCCCCCCACGCGCATGGGCTGTGCTGCAGGGGACGCAGCCACGAAGGGCTTCTGTGGGCCCCTGGCTGGCTTCATCCGCCTCCCCCTTCTCTCTTTGCACAGACAGGAGCTCGGAGGGCCTGAGTGGGCAGACGGACACTGAGGACCTGGCCAGCCCCCTCCGTCCCCCGGGGCCGGCCAAGCCACAGAAAGCGAGGGGGGGGCTCCTGGGTGGCGCCTTTCCTGGTGGGCTCACCCCTCTTTACCTCATCAAGGACGGGATCCTCGAACAGGTAGCCTGTGTGGCCCAGGCCCTCCCCAGCCAGGCCCCACCATCGGCCTCCTGCCTGCGGGTGTTTACGGCCCCCGGCTCCCTGTGCGAAGGAGTGCCCGGTCGGTTGGGGGGTGCGGGCTCCCCTTGCCTGCCTGAATCGGATGCCATTGGGTGGCCCAGGGAAGCCCCCTTCTCACCCCCTGCCCGTCTCGCTCTCTTGCAGACCCTGGGAGTGCCCCCCACGACTCCCTTCCTGGCCTGGAGCAACCAGCGCCCCCTGGAGAATGCCCACGGCTCTGCCGCCCACCTCCTCCTCCTCCAGGAGCCCATGGCCTCACTGACGCCCATGCCCCCCAGCCAGAAGCCCTCTGCCCAGAAGATCGGCTTCCCCACCCTCGGCGCTTACCCCAGAATTGCTGCTCATCCCAGCTGGCAGGCCGAGGAAGCCCCCAGACCAGCGGCAGAGCCCAGCGGGCACAAGTGGTTCTACGTGGGGGAGGCCTGGGCGTCTCCAGAAGCCCCCACCGCAAAGGACAGCCGTGAGGAATCGCCGGCGGAGTCTCCCGCCAGCCCACAGACCTCTGCCCTCGTGTGCCCGGAGGCAGCCGCTCGGCCCATCCCGTCCTGTGCTGGGCTACCCCCTGGTGGGGGCAGGACGGCTGCTAAGGGCGCCCGGATGCTCAGGGGACGCAGCCTGGAGAGGCAGCACCGCCTGCACAACACGGTGGAGATCCTGCGCAGGTCGGGGCTGCTGGGCATCACGCTACGGACCAAGGAGCTGCTCCGGCAGAACGGCAGAACCCAGCGGGAACTGGCCCAGCTGCGGGAAGAGGCCCAGCTGCTGTGCGAGGCTGCCCAGAGCAGCGACTCCCGGGTGTGGGCTCGCCTCCAGGACGCCATCGGCCGCTCGGCAGCCCCCTGCCCGTCCAGCAAGGGGGGCAGCGCTCAAGCCCACTCGGGGCAGCAGCCGAATTTAGCCGCTCAGCCCACAGGCCTCCTCCTGCCCAGCCCTGTGGAGTTCTTGTCCGGCTCTGGACCGGCCCTTGGCCCAGAGACCCCCTTGCCGGTGGCTCTGCCTTAGCTGCCCCCCGAGCTCTCCGTGCTCTGGGCAAAGGGTCTCTCTCGCCAGGAGCTGCCAGCTGCCGTCCGGCCCTGCCTGGCCTCGCCCTGCCGCCAAAGGCGTTTCTTTTCCCGGTGTGATGCTTGGTCATGGGGTGAGCTGGTTTCTCCTGAGCCCCCTGGATGGGGCTCAGCAGGCCCAGGACCAGAGCCCAGCGAGAGGGAGAGGGAGGACGGGGGGCATTTGGGAAGCAGCCGCCGTGTTCGGCATGGTTTGTGTCAGCCGGGAGCCTCCAGCATTCGGTCAGTCAGGAGTGGGGGACCCACTCAAAGAAGTGGCAGTCCGCACAACGGCCCCTCGCCCAGCAGCTGGGCTGGGCTGTTCCTGGGGGCATCTGTGCCAGTCGTGGAGGAGCCGGTTCTCTGCCCTTTGGGGCCGCTCAGAAGGCAGCTCCCCCATACACCCGCTCTGCCGTTACCAGCAGAGGCACTAATAAAAGAAAGCAAAACCTTGGATGTGAGTCAGCCTTTGTCTTTTGCCCCTGCCCTGGGGGGGGGGGGAGAGGGCGCCCTGGGGGGAAGGAGTGCTGGGGGAGCCCCTGCATTGCAGCAAAACTTCAGCCTTGGAGAGGGGAAAGTCTTGGCAGCCAGAATTTGCCCTTCAGCCTTGCCAGAGATGCCAAGAAACCCCCTTGGCAGGCCGGAGTGGGCACAAAGCTGGGGGAACCCCATTGGGGGAAGGGTGAGCAATGCAGCCTGTTGGGCAGGTTCAGGGGCTGCCATGGGGGGGGGCTCAGCCAGGAGCGTAGAAGTGTTGCACGCACTGCCCCACCCCCCATTGAGATGTCTTCCGTGTCTGTCTGGATCCCCCCAAGAACTCTGGAGGACTGTTTGCTGCCTTGTCTGACCAACTTCTGGGGTTCCACCAAAGACATCTGCGGGTTTTCAAGAAGAGATTGGACCACCATTTGCCTGAAATGCTACAGGATTTCCTGCCTGAGCAGAGGGCTGGACTAGAAGACCTCTGGGGTCCCCTCCAACTCTGTTATTCTGGAGGTGGGGATCCTTGTTTCAGGAAGACGGTTGGCTGGGACCTTCTGTGCTTGTCCAGATGTGGATTTTAGGTTCCTGGGCTGTCAGGAGAAGGAAATGCAGCCCAACAATAGCAAACCTGCATTTTTCCCAGAGAACCAACACAAGGAAAAGTCGAACTGCATACAGACGTGACAGGGGCCTCATCTGCCATCGCAACAGGGAAGAGCTTTGGAAAGGGCCAAAGAAAGAAAGTTCTTTACCTGTTTAGGGTGGTTAAATGTGGCGCCCTTCACGGAGGTGCTCCCAGGTGTCTCTTCTGGCCGTGGGAAGTTGGCTGCTTCACCTGCTCTGGCCACAGTGGGGAGGGGGGGAGGCTGTCTCTGCCCCTGACCCACATCTGGGAGAGGGTGGGGGAGGCAGGGAGGGAGGGAGGGAAGGCAGCCCTGGTGGGAGGAAAGCCTTGTAGCCTGTGGCCGCAACGCAGACAACCGGAGGCGGCTTTTGCTCCTTGGCACCATCTGGTGAAGAAGCTCAGGGACCCCAAAGGACTTTTTCTAATGGAGGCACTTTGGGGATTTCCTACCAAGGAAGGAAGGAAGGACGGAAGGAAGGAAGGAAGGAGGGTCGGAGGGAGGGAGGGAGGGAGGGAGGATGGAAGGAAGGAAGGCGCCAGGCAGCATTAACTAACAACCGCAAGTGTCTCCTCAGCTCCTCTGGAGAGGGAAGAAGGCTCCTGGTGGGACCACTGGTGGTGGGGCTCCAAAGCTCTCCAGGGGGGAGGGGGTGTAGAGGGGCAGCAATCCCAGGGGCTGCTCCCCTCCCAAGGGACTAGTGTGCTCTTTGCAGCCCCTCCGTTCTTGTATGGGGGAGGGACGGCCTCCCTCCCACCGGCTCCAGCTCTCCGCCCAGGGTCACTCGGGGACAAGGGCTGCCCTTTCGCCTTCCTTTCAGGCCTGGGGCCGGAGGGTCGGAGGGAAAGCCTGGCTCGCCCTTTTCCCCAGATGGGCCCAGCCCAGCCGCCTCCGG